TTGAGGCCAGCGCTGCTGCTTAATAGGTTAATCCTCCGCCTAGTGGCGCTGGCATAGTGGGTTCTAGTCCCAGTCAGGGCGCCAGATTCTGTCCCGGTTGCTCCTCTTCCAGTCCAGCTCTCTGCTGTGGCCCGGGAGTGCAGTGGAGGATGGCCCAAGTACTTGGGCCCTGCACCCCATGGGAGACCAGAATAAGTACCTGGCGCCGGCCGCGGTGGCCATTGGAGGGTGAACCAACAGCAAAAAGGAAGACCTTTCTCTCTGTCTCTCTCTCACTGTCCACTTTGCCTGTCAAAAAAAAAAAAAATGTTTGAGCCATGAAGTCAAAATGCTGAGCAAGCTCCTAACCTCACTTCCTGTTTGGTGTGGCTATCAGTGTTTTATCCACCTTCCCCTTCCACCTTGGTTGCTATTTCTTTTAACTAATCTGGCTCCATCTGAGTGTGTGACTCTGCATAGTTGCCTCAGTCCCTCCATTTCCATTATCCATGTGTAAAGAGATTAATTATGATCCTAGTTAGTAGACAGACCAATCTGAAGTTGTCAAATTTGTAAAGATAACTGCCCAGTACTTTTTAAAAGAGATACCTTTACTGCTTGAACAACAATATGAGATCTCCTTTACTACCTGATTTTTTTTTTGACAGGCAGAGTGGACAGTGAGAGAGAGAGACAGAGAGAAAGGTCTTCCTTTGCCGTTGGTTCACACTCCAATGGCCGCCGCAGCCGGCATGCTGCATCACACTGATCTGAAGCCAGGAGCCAGGTGCTTCTCTTGGTCTCCCATGCGGGTGCAGGGCCCAAGCACTTGGGCCATCCTCCCCTGCCCTCCCAGGCCCCAGCAGAGAACCGGCCTGGAAGAGGAGCAACCAGGACAGAATCCAGTGCCCCCACCAGGACTAGAATCCGGTGTGCCAGCGCTGCAGGTGGAGGATTAGCCTATTGAGCCATGACACTGGCATTTACTACTTGATTACCTGAATACTTAAATGGTTAATGAGGTAATGTCTTCTTCCATTTTATTCAAATATTTCTTGTTTGTCTCTTGAGTGAAAATACAATGACATACTTTCTGAAACTATATACTGGGGAGATGAAACACTGAGACCTGACACCTCTGAGGGTAGCTCCCCTACAAAGTGAGCTAACTGAGTACCTCAAGCCAACCAAAATGATCTCCCTCTGCACTCCACAATTATCTGCAGTTGTGTTTTACTCTGAACACTCAATTCCTCTGAATTGTTTTCATCTTAAAATAAAAAAATTTCATCTGTTAAAATGCAGTGTAACCTTAACAGCAGACCACATCATCTGAATATTCAGTGTTTGGTACATGGGGAGAGATGAATGTGGAAATCCAGAGGTCTGGGTATTGTAACAGATAGTAGGAGCTGAAGTAGGAGCACACAGGTAAGGCTACAGAAGGATGTAAAGGAAGCCACTGGAGGCACTCATGACACTGTACACTGCATCCATGGCTAGTTCCAGATCCTAATAATTAAATTAACCTTACTAATATTTATGTGAGGCCTTACAATTTAAAGTGTGAACCTAATTTTCTAGCATTACGACATCTACAAGTTGAGCATCCCTAATCTAATCCCAAATTGGATTTTTGGATTAGGGATGATAACTCAGGAAAATCAATGTAACTGTTCTAAAATCCAAAAATTCTGCAAAATCTGAAACATTTCAAAACCCACAACTTTTGGAGAAGGGATACTCAACCTGTACTTACTAATCTACAAAAGACCTGAGAGGTGGTCACTGGTACCTTCATTTCATAACCATCAGAGGAGACTGAGGGAAGATGTAGAGTAAATTAGCTAGCAGCCACTTTAGGATTTTCTGACACAGATTCCATGTGCTTCCACTGGATGAATAATAATGTTGAAGTCCAATACCTAAGAGCTACGGACATTTCCTACATGGTAAATGAACTTTTCTTTCATGATCGAAGTTTATATTCCAAAGTTTGCATTCTTCATGAAGGAAGAACTTTTCTTTCATGAGCAGATGGAGAGAAGAGGCTGCTTACCCAAATGGATGGCCTCAAGAGGAAGAAAAATGAGAAGGATGAGAATAACGGTTCTTACTTAAAAAGTCATTTGGTGGCCAGTGCCACAGCTCACTAGGCTATCCCTCCACCTGCACTGCTGGCACCCCAGGTTCTAGTCTCGGTCGGGGCACTGGATTCTGTCCAGGTTGCTCCTCTTCCAGTCCAGCTCTCTGCTGTGGCCTGGAAAGGCAGTGGAGGATGGCCCACATCCTTGGGCCCTGCACCCGCGTGGGAGTCCAGGAGGAAGCGCCTGGCTCCTGGCTTCGGATCGGCGCAGTGTGCCAGCTGTAGCGGCCATTTGAGGGGTGAACCAACGGAAAGAAGACCTTTCTTTCTGTCTCTCTCTCTCACTGTCTAACTGCCTGTAAAAAAAGAAAAAGTCATTTGTTAAGAAAGGAATTCAAGCACATATAGCAAGAGATAAGTTTTTCTAGAAATACCAATATAATGACTACATGGTACAACCATATCAGATTCATGACTTGAAATAACTTTGGAAATTGATAGAACTGATTAAATATTACTTTAAAATCATCAGCACGATAAATGTAATTTATTTTTTAAAGGGAACACAGAAATCTGTATGCTGGGAATAGAAAATAATATTTATTATAAAATTTGGTTAAAAATATTTTTTGTTAACCCAAGTAGAATACTGCATTCAATTAAGTATGGCTCCTCTATGGATTTTATGTTCTGCTAAAATTATAAAAAACTGACACTAACTTGAATTATTAGAAGTAACTTGTAAACAGTTCTACATACATACAAGTTCTTTTGACATCTTATTCAATCATTGATCGAAGTTTTTAACTTGGAAGAATTTGTTCCAAAGATTCTGAAATAAGAACCATTCATCTGAAATAAGATCACACCTTTGTTGACTTTTATGATTTCAACTTAGTATCTTAAAAATTTGAGAAAGAGAGAAAAAGGCACTCTGCAAATTCCTGCAATGGCTAGGGCTGGGCCAGTGCTGAAGCCAGGCATCAGGAGCTCAATCCAGGTCTGTCCTAGGTGGCAGGAACTCAACTACTTGGACCATCACTGCTACCTTCTAAGTTCTACATTAGCAAGAAGCTGGAGTCAGGAGTCAGATCCAGGAATATAAACTCTAGTATTCCACGATAGGTCCCAGTTGTTTTAAATGGCATCTTATACCACTGGACTAAAACACCTGCCCAGATCCAATTCAGTAATTTAAATAACTAGATTTACCCTTCCCTGAGTTGTTTTATATTTCACATAAGAAAAATGAGCTTATGATAATTTTTATTAAAACACATTTTAACCTCAAAAATACCTCCTTATTCTAGCATTACTTTTTTGAGTTTGTTATTACTGCTTATATTTTTAAAAATTTCTATTACCGGCCGGCGCCGCGGCTCACTAGGCTAATCCTCCGCCTAGCGGCGCCGGCACACCGGGTTCTAGTCCCGGTCGGGGCGCCAGATTCTGTCCCAGTTGCCCCTCTTCCAGGCCAGCCCTCTGCTGTGGCCCGGGAGTGCAGTGGAGGATGGCCCAGGTGCTTGGGCCCTGCACCCCATGGGAGACCAGGAAAAGCACCTGGCTCCTGGCTCCTGCCATCGGATCAGCGCGGTGCGCCGGCCGCAGCGCGCTGGCCGCGGCGGCCATTGGAGGGTGAACCAACGGCAAAGGAAGACCTTTCTCTCTGTCTCTCTCTCTCACTATCCACTCTGCCTGTCAAAAAAAAAATTTCTATTACCTATATTAAGTGAACAATATTTTTCACTAGTCTATACTTGCTACTACCCCTAAACAACAAAAAGGATTACAATAGGACCCATTGGCCAAGTGGTCCCAGCTTGTATCTGACCTTAATAACCAATTCACTATGAAAGGCATATACTGTTTTATTTAAGGTTCTTTATAACTTAATAGGTATTATATTCATTTTAAAATGTGAATTTAAGGAAAGTATTAAAAGTTACTTGAGGGGCTGGTACTGTGGTGTAGCAGGTAAAGCTGCTGCCTGCAGTGCTGGCATCCCTATGGGTGCCAGTTCAAGTCTTGTCTGCTCCACTTCTGATCCAGCTCTCTGCTATGGCCTAAGAAAGCAGTAGAAGATGGCCCAAGTCCTTGGGCCTCTGCACCCACGTGGGAGACCCGGAGGAAGCTCCTGGATCTTGGCTTTGGATTAGCACAGCTCTGGCTGTTGCAGCCAGTTGGTGAGTGAATAAGTAAATCTTTAACAAAGTTACTTGATATTTTATGCTTCTGTACAAAAGACTATATTAATTATATATTATACATTAATTATATACATAATCATGGGAAATATATACTTCATATATAAATATATAATACATATATTGTTATATATTATATATTCATGTATTATATACATAAATACATATTATATACATAAATATATAAAATATATATATACTAAAGAGAACCCCCTCTTTTTTCTGGTAAATAGAAATTATAGCAGCAACAATTGAAGAAGTTACACAATATCTTGAAAGAAGATTCCAGTCTTCACTGGAATATGAGTAGAGGCAGGTCTGATCTTTTTCCTGTATTTTTTTTTATTCCTGCATATTTACTTTTTTATCCCTGGGAGTTAGGCCTTCAAAATGAAATCTTGTCTGTTCTCATGAGGAAGAAAGGCTTTCCTTAGCTGCCCTGTCCCCTGGAGCCTTGGCAACACGGTTCTGGCATCAACTTTATGCTCGCCTGTTACCCTTCCTTCTTATAAACCCCTGGGATATCTCTTGGTGCCTTTCCACAGAAAGAGCTCCTACACCTCCTGCAGTACACTGTCGGGCAGTTTCCATCAGGCTGTAGCATTATAGTATGTGGAGTAAAGAAAAGAGCTGACATGAACTACACTGTTTTCAGAACAACTGATAACTGGTCACATTGGCCTTTTCGTACAGCTAAAAGAGGCTGAGAGATGAATATAGACAAACTTTACCCCATCATCCTGTGAAAGGGGTTATTGATCATCAAATCTTGCTGGCCAACAACCTTCCTTGGGTTTGTGATATGCTGGGAAAGAAAAAAACAAAGATCAGAGACTCTGACCCATAGAGTATACAAAAGAAAACCATTACATCAATTAAATTTACTATTTCTTTAATGTTGCTTTACCATGCTCTTAATTCTTTAATTCTACATATCCACTGACTTTTATCTTGAGGAAGAACACAAAGAATTAGCTGTCAAGAAAAAAATCTTCATAAAAACCATAATAAAATGTGAAATTAAGCCAAATTCAATAACCTAATAATTAGGTTATATTTATGGTATCTCATATTCATATCATTAGTCTTATTCCCAATAATTTATATTTTGGGATATTTAATAAATACATTATTACAAGATGCAAGAAATGAACATTCACGGGCCAAAAAGCAAGATTTCAAAAGCTACATTACTAAATGGAATCAAAACCCTCTCCACATTTATATTAATAAAAGAAAAAATTACTGAGGTTTGAATCATAGTTGAGTATGGTTCCAATCTTAATGTAAGAGGCAGGGGGTATTAAGAAGCACAAGGTCCAATTAGTCAACTCTATGTGTAGAGCTCTGTTTTAAAACAAATAGGTAAAGAGGAGAGGAAAACAGTGTGAGGACAGAGGTCACAGTCTGCAAGGCGAAGTGATTCCTCTTATAACAACAAAATGTAATTTATAATTGGCAATCAGCTTAGAAAACAAGCATTCTTAAAATGATAAATTTGATTTAATTTAGTTTAATAAAAAATTAAAATAAATCTGGATTTGGGTTTACTTTTAGCAAATGAAGAATACTAAAAATTAAACAACAGGGTATGGGGGTGGTATACAAATATTTGTATACACATATTCTAGCAGCAGGTCTCCTGCCTTTACTACCTGCATATAACAGAAAAAAACGCATTTTAATTATTAGATTTATATTCGTAAATCTAAAATTGTCTCATATCATGCATGTCATACTGTCTTTACTTGCACAGGCACAGTATGCTCAATTTATGCAGATAATCCTAAAATCTTTCAGTAGAAGTCATTTTAGAAACCAGTCTAAATCCCAATTAATTCATTTTTGGAGAACAAAAGGAGGTACTATTTCAAAACAATTTAAAAATAGCTGCTAATTATCATTACCAGTTTTGGTAACCAAAGGTTCTTTTCTTCACAAGACACTGATGCAATCTCCTTCTATTTCTCCTTGTTGCCTTGACTTTTGTGCTTTTAAGCAAAAGAAATGTGAAAAATCCTTCTGATCCTCTATTTATGAAAAGAAGAGAGGATGACTAAATGATGGCACTTGATACAGTAAGAATCTGCAAGCTAATTGCCCCCTCCCTTTCCTGCCCAGCTCAAGAGTTTCTGCAAACATTTTTGGAAAACATAAAAGTGTTGCTCTAATTTTTGCACCATCAAAAGAAGAAAAGATGGTTATTTCAAATAATTGCTTTATCATCACCAGTTACTCAGGACTAAAGGTGGTTCAATCTCATTAGTAAATGTCCTGTGAAAGATAAGCATGAATGGCCAAATGACTAGGAGTGAAGTCTCTTGGAAAATTCAGCAATCCCCTTCATAGATAATCTTCCAGGGCACCAGGTAATGTGTTGATCTATTGCAATCACAAACTGTAAGTAAATATTTTCTTCTTACCTTCTGGTAAATGCTGCAGAATCTGCTGCTTCTCAGCTGCCCATTAATCACCTACTTCCCTTGTTGCCAAGTAATTGTTGTTTACAAATAGTCCTTTGTGCTGTACATTGTCATTTAATGCTATAACTAGTACTGAAACAGTATTTTTCACTTTATGTTTCTATGTGGGTGCAAACTGTTGAAATCTTTACTTAATATATGCTAAACTGATCATCTGTATATAAAGAGAATTGAAAATGAATCTTGATGTGAATGGAAGGGGGGAGGGAGAGGGAAAGGGGAGGGTTGCGGGTGGGAGGGAAGTTATGGGGGGAGAAGCCATTGTAATCCATAAGCTGTACTTTGGAAATTTATATTCATTAAATAAAAGTTAAAAACAAACAAAGAAACAAACAAAAAACACAAATAGTCCTTCCCATTCTTTCCTACAGGAAAGAAAGCAAAGCATGGGAATCCCTTTGTTAGAATGGTTCTGCTTGGAGAGGAATTCTATAGGAAATTAATTTTAAACTAGTCTAAGAAATGCAACTTTTTTAAAATATTCATTTGACAGAATTATAGACAGTGAGAGAGAGACAGAGAGAAAAGAATTCCCTCCATTGGTTCACTGTCCAAATGGCCGCCACGGCCTTTGCTGTGCTGATCCGAAACCAGAGCCAGGTGCTTCTTCCTGGTCTCCCATGCGAGTGCAGGGACCCAAGCACTTGGACCATCCTCCAATACCTTCCTGGGTCACAGGAGAGAGCTGGACTGAAAGAGGAGCAACTGGGACTAGAACCTGGTGCCCATAGGGGATGCCAGCACCACAGGTGGAGGATTAACCAAGTGAGCCATGGCCCTGGCCCCAGAAATGCAATTTTTAAAACATATATATTTACTTGCTTACTATTTCTGAATGCATGGCTGTGTTTTTGGACACAGTTCTGCAGATTTAATGAGTATGTAGATAGCTATAATTATGCCAGCTACTGAAATTCATACTGTCTAAGAAGGCTATTCCATCTCCACTAGAATGCTGGTAGTGCAGTTCAGTGAATAAACAAAAAATTAATATAAATACTTGAATCCAAATAAATACTTGACTGCCAAAGACATATTTCCACAAATGATAAACACAAAAAGGTGAATTGTTAATTACATTGATTTCTCATGTGCAATATTTGTGTAGATAAACTTGTTTCTCTTTAATGTTAGGCTGGGCAGTTAAGTATAATAAGACTGCTTTATTTAGCTGTTAATGCTATTCACTATTGAAATCTCTGCAACTTCTTTCTAAATAATCGTTTTTAAAATTTTAACAGGTATGGGGAAATTTAAAATAAGACAACAAAATATTAAAAAGCCTCACTGTAAAAAATGTTAAAAGCAAGCCTGAATACCTTGCAGTACCTATGGCTGAGTAGATAAACAACTGAAATGTGCCTCCCAGGCATGCAGACACCAGGGGCCTAACACCTGTGCCTCATTAATATATGAGTAAATCTGCTCTACTGGGAAATAATTGGAAATTAATTGTACCAAACCATTTACTGAATTTGAATAAAGTAATTAGACATATATTCCCTGCATTTTGCACCAAACCAAACATTAACATCGCTTTTTGGGGCCAGCACTGTGGTGCAGTGGGTTAACACCCTGGCCTGAAGTGCCAGCATCCCATATGGGTGCTGGTTCAAGACTCAGCTGCTCCACTTCCAATTCAGCTCCCTGCTATGGCCGGAGTAGAAGATGGCCCAAGTCCTTGGGCCCCCGCACCCACATGGGAGACAGGGAAGAATCACCTGGCTCTGGCCACTGGGGCCAACTGGGGAGTGAACCATTGGATGCAAGACCTTTCTCTCTCTCTGCCTCTCCTCTCTGTTTGTAACTGGCTTCTGAACAAATAAATAAATAAATCTTTTTAAAAAAAAAAAGAATTGTCAACAGTGGAGGCAAGTAAGATTAGCTTTATGAATTTTCTCTCATTCCATCATGTCACAAATCTATAATTTAAAAGTTATCATCAATGCTGAGACCCTGGCAATACTATCTTGAGAGGCTTGCTGAAAAGAAAGCCACTGAAACCTTTAGTCATCCTAAACACATGTACCTACAGTCATTACCCGCCAGACCCTATTCATCTGAGGAAAAGACAATCTTGCAAATTAGGCTAGCAGCCATGAATATAACTAACTGAACACTTGAAGCTCAAAAATCTGACCATGGGAATGACACATCTTCCCCAAAGTGTTCCAGAAGTGCAACCAAAATTGCTAAATTTTGTCTTATATAAAAACATATATATATAAGAGTACCTCAAAAAGTTATGGAAAACAGTATTTATTTAGGGACCAGTGTGGCATAGCAGGTACAGCTGCCACCCACGACACAGGCATCCCATATGGGAGCTGGTTCATGTCCTGGCTGCTCCACTTCCAATCCAGATCCTTGCTAATGTGTCTGGGAAAGCAGTGGAGGATGGCCCAAGTACTTGGGTCCCTGTACCCATGTGGGAGACCAGGAAGAAGCTTCTGGCTCCTGGCTTCAGCAGCCTGGAACAACAATGGACATTGCAACCATCTGGGAACTGAACCAGTAGATGGAAGATTCTCTCTCTCTCCTCTCTCCTCTCTTTCTACAACTCTTTCAAATAAGTAAATAAATAAATAATTCTTTTTTGTTTTAAAAGGACAAGTTTATTTCAGTGCAAACATTTCAAAATTCATTCATAGTTCCTTCTTAAGACACATTTTTCATGAATTTTTTGAATACTCACAATAACGTATGTGAAGAGAAGGAAGGGAGGGAGGGAAGAAGACAGAGCACAAATAAATAGCAAAACTCTACCAATGATGTCATTAAAATGTTAAAAAAATCTATTTATGAAAAAAAGTTTTACACAAATGATTTTACATAAATCACCTCTAACCTCTACAACAACCCTCTGAGAGAGTGTTTTTAATCTTCCTTTCCAAATGAGGAAACTAAGGTTCAGAAAAACTAAATAACTGGTGGAGAGAAAAAAGGAATGAGAATTAGAAAACACACCTCCCTGGAATAAGGTAGAAGGCAAGAGACACTAAAAGGACACATGATACTCCAAATATTATGGGCAAAATTGCTTCTAGCAACAAGGCAAGGTTGAAATCTATGATTTCTTCCCCACATTTTTCACTTTTGAGTACCACAATTAAGGATGTAGAGATCAGTTTTCACCAGTTACTCTCAGAAGGTAGGTTAACAACAGCTGTTGTGAGGGTTCATAACCTGGGTCATTTAGGCGTACAAAAGCCTTGAATTGAATAGTTTAGAGACATGAGCATTGAAGGGCTCCTTTTAAAGCCAGCAGTGTCGTCTAGTGGTAACTATTCTACCTGGCAGGCACTGGGTCCCTGAAAACAATCAGCACCCAAGTTGGGAGAGGCACCCTATGTAGGTTTCATCTCCACACTGATGTTAATGGACCAGAGGCTGTGATGAGTCACTGTGTTGAGAAGGACTCTGAACCCACCATCTCCTCAAAAAGAAACACCGTGCCTGACTAAAAACAATGGCCATGAGTGTCATCATCATTTCTCAGGGAATCAAACTTTCACAGCAGCAACTGATGCCCTCCCCCTTAAGAATTCCTGCTTAGGTAGCGCCATGTCCCGCAATAGTTTGCTCTGACATGGAAATGCACTAGACTATGCAATGAATACCCATAAATAGTAAGTAAATGTAGCTGATGATTAGAGGAATATCTATTTCTAATTATATTAATGTGATGTTTTCCAAAGATATGAACATAAATTGGTATGAGACTAGTTAGGACCTTCTTTCACTTCGTTACAAAAGCATTTAGTTTATTCTCCTATCACAGATTCTCTGGTGGTTCTCATTTCCCGATGCCGCTCCTCCTTTACAGCGGTTCATGTGCAATCTCACCTCCAGGCCCAGGGAGGGGCTGGGAAGGGCCTTGGCACTTCAGGAGGGCCGGGTGTAGGGCCGGTCGGCCCTTTGTGAAAAGGGGCTTGGGGGTGCAGGAGTGGGTGGCCGGGGGAGTGAGGGGGAGCTGAGGTGGAGGAGGACTCCACAGTCTTTTTTATTTTTTCTTTCAATTTTTTTTTAAATGTCCATGGATGATTCTCCCCCGTTTGCGTTCCTTCCTGGCTATCCAGGGTGAGCGTCCATGGGGTGCAGGGCAAGGCAAGGAGGGACAGCAGCTGGCTGCCCATGGGCTCCTGGGCTAAGGCACAGTCCTGTCTTTGGCTGTCCTGGTGGGGAGTTCCCTCCCCTGCAACCCCAGCCCGTCCCACCCCCCAGTCCAGGGAGCCAGGAGCCACCTCTCAGGGTTCATGAAGACCACCGGGCTCTGCTACCTAGCCCTGGTGCTGCAGAGTGCCCCCACCGTGGGAAAAGGTGGGGAAGGGAGGCGACGCCTGGGTTCCAGAGAGCCAGCCTCCCCTGCTCAGTCCTGAGAGGCCTGGGCATGCCCACTGTCTTCTGAGGGTCTGACTGGAGCTCCCCACCCGGCCCCCGCCCCCAGCTGCTTGCGAAGTGTGACCAGGATATTGTGCTTTGGGGTAGGTGCTGGGGCAGGGGTGGGGTGGGGACTAAGGGGCTTGTGCTTTAGCAAGGGGTGTTGC